CATGGTTTTATTTTTCTTCCTCGGTTTTAGGTCTTGAATGGTGTGATTATTTAAATTTATTTTTGATTATATCCCATCATTCATTGTTCACATTCGATTGTTTAACGCATGAATTAACTGAACAATGACTTCGGCGTGCATGTGTAGATAACGTCAGCATAACTCAAAATAGTCAGAATATATGATTTGTATATTTGGTCAAGAACAGGTGTATAAAACGTATACTTGTACTTCATCATCATGCTCAGAATAGAATTAGATTTAGAAACAACATAGGAAATATGACACTTTCAGGATAGCGATGATGTAAAGTACACCCCTAAATGTTTGTGTTCCTCCGCACGTTGAAGAACATGTTTTGATATTTGCAGTTTACCCTGGGATGGTTTTTTTGAAAAGCACATTGAGATACACTTTATTAAGTTTAATGGTAACTGCCATCGCAGAGACCACTGATAAACTATATCAAGATCATTGTTCAAAATCGCGGTGACCTTTTTGTAGTTTTCATCGCTACTATATAGTAACGTGTCATCAGCAAAAATATGAGTCTTAGAAGTCAGGTCGCGTCCAATATCATCTATGTAAAAAATGAATGGTAGAGGACCCAGTATACTTCTCTGTGGTATGCCACTGTTAATACGGATAGGTTTTGATTGTTTACCTCCAACTACTGTCGTGATATGTCGATTTAGTAAGTAATTCTCAAACAACGCAACTAGTTGAGGACAAACACCTTTCTTTCTTAATTTGTACAGTAATCCATTGTGCCAAACCTTGTCAAATGGTTTTTTGAAATCCAAGTAGACTACCTGAATATCTTTTCCCGCCGCTCTATCCTTATAAATAGAGTGAACTAGATCTACTAACTGGTGTACGGTCGAATGCTTCTTTCGAAAACCCGACTGAAAAACCGACAGGAGTTTGTTTGCCGTCAGATATTCGTATAGTCGTTCGTAGATGACTCTCTCAATTACTTTTGACAGGGCAGGCAACAATGTAATAGGACGGTAATTATTAGGCACTGTACGGTCCCCTTCTGTGAATAATGGCATGACGTAACCCGACTCCATAGAATTAGGAAAGGTAGATGTGAACAGAGAGCTACGACAGATAGAAGCTACATCTTCAGCAATAATTGATGAAGATTCACGCAAAAGACGATTATTGACACCTAGTGCGATTGCTTTATTGATATCTAGATGAGACAAAATATGCTCAACCTCCTTCGCAGAAACATGAAAAGAAAAGAGCGAAGAACTCACATCTGGGAGGAGGTCAATAGAAATAGAGGTATTACAATCAGCCTTTGACATAGTACACACAGAAGCAAAATGTTCATTCAATAACTGAGCCTTTTCCTGATCATCATAAATCAACTGAGAGTTGATGTTTTGGAGAACTGGTAGTGAAGATGTATTAGTTCCACGAATGTTGTGCTTAACGAGTTTCCATCAGTATTTACTCCCACTATTAATTCGGTTTATACGTTGAAAATAGCTTTCTTTTGCGTCACGGCAAGCCCTATCAAACTGTCTTTGAGCTTCCTTATACCGCTTTTTGGAGCTCACAGATGAATTGAGAGTTTTACACTGACTAAAAAGTTTATTTTTACGCTCATACAGCGCTCTCAAGTCATCCGTGAACCAACGTTGATCTCTGTTTCACAAAACAAGATCTTTAAAGGGAATCGATTTTTCAGCTGCTTGTTGAATGCAGCTTAACAGCAAATCACATTTTGTCTGCACGTCACTGTTATGGAACTTGAATGCATTGCTATTAAGTTTATTCATCAATTGATAACGATAATGGTTCCAGTCCACAGCTTTATAGTTCCAAATCCTTCTCTGGACAGGCATCCTGACAGGCATAGAAGTGTTTAATTTGATAAATACCGGTGAATGGTCACACGTTTCGCACAACAATGGTAGAACTCTCACACTGTCAATAAGACTCAAATTATTTGTCATTACTAAGTCAAGACAAGTCTCAGACACCAATCGAGTCGGTTCTCTGACTAACTCATAGAGTTCCGTACCGTCCACAAATGAAAAGAGTTTATTTCCCCTTCTGACGTTGAGGGGCGAGTGGCACACCACTTATCACAGTGAGCATTGAAGTCACCCAACCTCAGAAGACCAACAAAGGATCTGGTTGACATAGCTTCACCTAAAGACTCAGACAGGAACTCTGTGTATTCATCAAAGATATCAGCAGTCGATTCAGTTCTGTAAGATAGCACCAGCAAAATATTTCCCAAGATGACAAGAGCAAAAAACATAGTTTCAAATTTTATATTATCGAGGGAAGACAGACGAGTAGAGAGAATATCATTACGTGTATACAGTAAACAACCGCCTGCTTTTTTGTCTCTGTCTAATCGATGACTAGTATAATTTAAAATATTTATGTCTTCGTCTTTTATTGATTTATCTAGCCATGATTCTACTATGGCAATAACAACCGGATTTTCTACTGATATAAATAATTTTAATTGATCTATTTTTTTTAACGAATTTTTCCCTTTTTTTCGAGTACTAGACGAGAGGATACTGCGAATGTTTAGCAATACCACAGAGTGTGTGTTATCGCTCACATTCTGTAGATTAGTTGACATCATAAACGAATCGTCTGAATCTCAACGATAAAGTGGCTCTCATCCCGTCAGCTATAAAACAGATAGTAGAAAGAAGAACACATCTTATAGTGCTTAAAGAAAAGAAGAAAGTATGACTGTCGAAGAAATAAACTTGTATGCAGAAAAAAGTCTTGTATGAAGAAAAAAGTCTCATAATAAATAGTTTAAACCAAAAAGTCTTTGTTGTATAGAGGAGAAAAAATGCGAATGTTATCCTGACACACTGCTGTACAATACAACTAACTGCCCGAATAATAAATAGAGCGATATACGACATGATAAAGAGGGAGAGTTTTAGGAAAAACTGATTCAATTGAGGTATTACACTTACGAATCCACAAAACTCTCCTCAAATCCTCTTAGTCTTGACTAGACACTTCTTGTTGTTGCGATCCTTGACAATTATTAGCCATTATAACTGAATCATGAATATTATTTGTAGATGGTGTTACACTAATAATTTCAGAAGTTATAGGTGGTTGCTGCTGGTGTTTGGGTACGATATCTTGCGCTGTTATTCTTCTCAATGAATTATCGACTTGTTTACAATACACATGACCGTTTCTGGTAACAATTCTTTTCCTGTTAGATGGCTCAACTGAGTCACGAGCTGAATGGAATAAAGCTAATGTTTTTTTTGTTAAATCTTCAACAATAAAAATTTTGGAGTTTTTTTGTTTTAATCGATATGTTGAACGAAGAATTTCTTGACGAGTAGACCGACTAAAATAACGTACAATGATCGGACGGTTGTGACCATTTTTGAATGGACCGATGCGGTGGCAATTCTCAATAGCTGCTGGGGATAGTTTTAATTCAAGTTGTTTATTTGTAAATGAAGTAATTTTTTCAACGATATTTTCATTTTTTTCTTCATGAAAGCCGTGAAAACGTAAACACCAGGTTCGATTATATCTTTCAAGGTCATCCACTTTGTCTTCAATGCTGGTAAGACGGTCACTAAATGTTTGAAACACCGGTGTAAACAGGGAGACGATCGACTCAGCTGCAATGGAGATATTGTTATCGTTTGATTTCACAATATCTGATATTTGTTGCTGTAGTGATGGATCGTTCTTGATTTTATTAATCATCATCTCTTGTAGTTGAGCTGGGAGAGACGACGGGTGTAGTGCTAAACGTCCGTAGTTATTTAAGTTTCGAAGATTGCTCTTGGTCGATGTGGTAGACCGTTTATGCATGTTAATGATAGTCGATAATAATTGAAAAAAACAATCAAATTTATCGTATAAATAATCAATAAGTTAGCTAATTGTAAGCAAGTAGTGAACTTTTATTTTTTAAAGGACAATATACGTCCGTTCTGCATGTGAAAAAATTTGAAAGTGTGCTAAGTGAAGTGAAGCTGAAAAAAACAAAGCTTGAAAGTGAGCTAGCCAACTATCGACGCCTAGTGATGATGAGGAGGAGGAAGACACTGATCTCGATCCTGTGAATTTGGACATCGATCGTACGATCGAAGTGCCGGATAACTGAGAAACAACCGTTGCTGAATAACAAAAACAATATGATGCAAATAATACACATATCACTTTTGTTTCCGCAAGGGCTTAAATTAAATCTATAACACTCGTATTGCCGCTGTGTCACTTCATCGAGATAGAGTGTAAAAACATTTCGTTAAAGAGTTAAAGGATTTACAAAAAGAGCTCCAAAGGAATAAAAGTGTTGTTTTTCACTCAATGACCTGTATAGGAAATAACTTATTCATTACGTGCCAGATCTTCTATACGAACATCTTGTTGGTTAGAAATTTTCAAGATTCATCATCTGATGGTGTGGTTTGGATGGACCTACTTTCGATAAAACTTTCCTGTTTTCCGTCCGGATGGTGAACTAGTGATGCGGATAAAAGGCCGTTCTCGTCGTGTTTCACATCTGGATAGTAAATGGTTGAGAAGTCGATGATGCAAATGGAGTAAGGCGTATCCAACAAGGTTATTGTCGCTATTGCTACACAATACAATCAGTATCACTCTTATCCGTAAATGAGGCGGAGCTCAGCAGCGGTTTCTCTCCTTCTCAGCGCTTGGGCTGATTTCCCAGTAGAGAAGGCTTATCGAATAATTCTCAGGCTTTTATGTGTTCTGGCGCCACTACTCATCACATTACCAGCAAAAAAAAGAACACAGGAGGAAAAAGCAGAAATGAAAAAAAAGGCAAAGACCGGTATTGGAAGGGCACGTTTTTCGGCCTACTGTCAAGAAAATCGGCAAGTCGTACCTTAACAGTTTCAAAGAGGAATAGACGTCGAACATTTTTAGTAGAGAAGTTTCATCTGCAGCGAACAAAGGTAATGACCCAAGAGAGGGCTTTTTTCGCTGAGCGATTACTCATAGTTTTCCAGTTTACCTAATAATCACGAAAATTCGTTAGCGAATGATCGAAGTCTATCAATGACTCATGTTGCAGGTAAAGTAAGGCAGCATAGTGTCGCTGTCAAAGCGTATCTAGACTCTGTTTATGGCGTTAGACGTTCCTTCCCCCTTGAGATAGCACAATCGAATAGACATGACCCCCTAAGATAGATATATGACCTTTATTCCTTTAAATCGACACTAAACTATTACAAACACGATAAACTATACAAACACAAAAGTTTATTGTCCAGCACGAGTTGTTCCAGTTGTTGGGAATCCACAAATGGTGCCATTGGTTTGGGAGAGCGGGGAGGAGGGAAAAGTGGAGCTCGATGGTGGTGGGAGATCCGACGAAAAGTGGCGCCACTCATACCCCTACACTTTGACCCACCGCCTTCGGCGGCACAATTTTGAGGTCTTCGTTTTAACCCAACTTTTGAAAAAATTTTCAATCCTACCACCCCAGGTTTCGAGCAGAGGGCTAACACTCCAAGAGCAAAAATGGAAATCCTTCCAAGATGCATACTTAATTCACTAGACGACTATGGATAATCAAGTAAACAGCAGAATCAAAGCATGAGACTGTGTATATTGCTGTTTTGCAGCACTTTCGTCGCACGTTGCGAACGGCTGCGATGAAATCAACGTTGGAGTGCAATGTTCATTAGTCCAAAGTGTAGCAGTGCAAACTGGAGTAATAACTTCTTGCTTTTTTCTTCGCAAACATTGCAATTTCTTAGCGAAACGCGTAAAAAGTCCTTTTGAAGTCTTTGTCTAAAGCCAAAGTAGCAAAATCAAGCGTCTATTGCGTTTGGGAGTAGGTCGTCTCGAGTAGTCCACACTGCAGCCGTCCAAATACAAGTAGTTCTTTTACAGTCAATAAGAATAGTATATAAAGAGGAGAAAAGCGCGAAAATAAAGCGTTGTTGTGCACATGAACTTTCGTCACGCGTTATTTGCTGTTATGTTATTAGTGTGACGAAAGTTCAGGATGGGATGTGACGTTAGTTGTAGGTCTGTTACACAGTTGGTTACGAAAGTTTACCACTCTTGTGACCAAAGTGTGGGGTGGTACTCCCCCAAAAATGCCATACACTTTCGTCACGTGTGACGAAAGTTCTTTTTTCTATGTGAGGAAAATTAACGTGACGAAAGTGCTATTACCCATATCGCTAACTTAATGATAGAGAGCACTGCCTACTCGATTCGATCCTCAGTTCAGATATATTTTCCGCTAACATCTTTACAATCGTTTGTTTTAAACAAGGTACAATGGCAGTAGCATAAAATATGTTCATATTTTACTCACTCAATAATCAATGGTCTATAACAGCATAAAAATAATAGAACATTGACAAACGGCATATAACTTTTATTTAAATCATTTCGAGTTCTTAACCAAATTAACATTGTTACAGATAAATGATGAATCTAAAACAACATGACAGTGATAGTTAACCAAATTTATAAAATATTTATAAATACATTACCAACGCTATATTTGAATCTAAGCTCATCTGAATATATTTCCAATCAAATTCAATACCACGTGCACCAACCCATAATGGTAAAAATCTATAAAGAGCGAGATATTATCTTGTAGACAAATAATTTTAACAAACAAAAATTAAACTTCTTCATTTTTCTACTAAAAAAAGAGAATACCTACTTTGTTACAACTAACTCGGCTGATGCCCATCCAACAGCTACCACTAAATATTTAATTTCCGTTTTTCCACATATTCTTGTCAAAACAAAGTGTAAACCAATAACATCTAGAATATCGACAGTATTCTTAAGAATTTCCTGAAATGATAATTATAAAAAAAACACAATTATTTATTGTTTATAATGTTTACTAGACAGTAGATAAGTACATACGGTTCTGACGACAAATTTCGATTCATCCACTGGCGGAAAACATGTAGCTATAGTTAACATTTTAACAAATTGAACAAAAAAATAGAATGCGGCCGATTGAACACATTTCCAAAATGCATTATATTCAGCACTAAAATGAGAAGAACAAGCGTCATTGAAGAAATAAACAAATAGTAAACACGACTTACAGTCCTGAATATTTGTATGTTAACAAGACAGGACCACATGCTAATGCAAGACAATTACCAAAATGAAATAAAGGCATTATTTTATCTAAAAAGATTGTAGAAATAAACGTATGAAAAATCTCAGTATAGTAATCGGTAAATTAAACAACAATTTGTTTTAGAATTTTATTACAATTTTCTGGATGTTTGATAAAAATATAGTTAAATAGATTTGTTTCTGATAAAGTACCATTAACATACCAGAAACTTCTTGTTTATACTTTCATTTGGTCAAATATTTATCGTTATATAAAAACAAAAGTATGAACTAAGATAATCTATTTCAAAAGTTAATTAACTGTACAACAATTACATACATATTAAAATATAACAGTGAGATATCTACGCTATTTTTATACTAATAATAACTGTTCTATAAATTTTGACGTTTTTGTTTTAATTATATTTTGTAGAATGATAATTGTCTTGTTGTTCCAACAACCAAATGATGAACACCAAATAATCCAAGGAATGTCATATTTTTAACCATACCTTGTTTTGTACAATTAACGAGGTTCATGCCATCACTGATCTTATCCACTAGATAAAGTTGATTTTTATTTTGATCTTTGACTAACCATTGATTATTTAATAAATTTGTTTTTGCATAAATTGAAAACTGATCAAATTTAAATCGACGGATATGAGACATTTGTAAATCAACTAAAAAAAGAATTGATTCGATAGAAGATTGAATAATATCGATTGTACATACAGTGGCTTACAAAATTGTTCATCTATCTTAATTCTCAATTTTTCTCATCGATCATTATAGCTAGAACAAGTCTGAAAAATGACCTGAATTACTGTTAAAAGAGTTTTCAGTCGGATGTGGTGATTTGATCAGAATTGGTTTGTACTTCAATTCTCTGAAAAATCCACACCTCAGAAAGCTCAATCTCCCTCAAAATCGACTAACAAACTTTTTTCAAACAATTGCAATGTATAGAGAAAATATTTGTAAACACAGCGAGACATCTCTCAGCTCTCTACGACAGTTTTTCATCAAACTACATTTCCCAAAAGCATATCCTTCATAATTTTCTGTTAACCTCGCTTATTTCTGATGGTTTTCAGACTATTCGTCACTGGAATGTAGTTTGATGAAAAAATGTCGTAGAGAGCTGAGCGATCTCTCGCTGTATTCAAAAACATTTGCTCTATACATTGAAGTTGTTTGGAAAAAGTTTGTTAGTCGATTTTGAGGGAGATTGAGCTTTCTGAGGTGTGGATTTTTCAGAGAATTGAAGTACAAACCAATTCTGATCAAATCACCACACCCGACTGAAAACTCTTTTAAGTAATTCAGATCATTTTTCAGACTTGTGTTAGCTATAACGATCGAAAAATTGAGAATTAGATAGATGAACAATTTTGTGAGTTATGTTATACTCACGTAAATCAATGAAATCTTGTTCATTTTTATACACCACTAATGCCAGACAATCATTACTCGATAAATGAGCAGAATAAATTCCATCAATACCGGTATAATCATAATAATAAAGAGTATTTTTGTTCAATCGTTTAATAAGTGACCATGATGTTAATGACCAATGATCAATATATGTTCCCCAATCACCAATTAAAAATAAGTGTTCACGATATACACTTATTGAACATAATGATTTAATACCAGATTGACGAATACGACATTGTTCAGTTAATTCATGCGTTAAACAATCGAATGTGAACAATGAATGATGGGATATAATCAAAAATAAATTTAAATAATCACACCATTCAAGACCTAAAACCGAGGAAGAAAAATAAAACCATG